GCCACAACGCCCGGCTATTTTTTTTTTGGTTGCAGCCGTCATTGTTGTTTGGCGGGTCCAGGCTGGGGATTCGAACCCGCTACCTTAGGTGTACGTGGCTGGTGCCTTAGCCGGTTGAGCTATAGGCGCCGAGCCCAAAGTCTGTTTTTCAAAAATCACAATATCTAGGCCAGGCATGATGGCTTCCTCACACCTATAATCCTAGTACTCCGGGGAGGCCAAGGCAGGAGGATCACTTGAGCTCAGGAGTTCAAGATTGGCTTGAGCAAGAGTGAGATACTGTCTCTACTAAAATTGAAAAATTAGCCAAGTGTCATGGCACACACTTATAGTCCCTGCTATTTGGGAGGCTGAGGTAGGAGGACTGCTTGAGCTCAAAAGTTAGAGGCTACAGTGAGCTATGATGACACCACTGCTTTCCAGCCTTACAGAGGGAGATTCTGTCTCAAAAATTAAAAAAAAAAAAAGTCAAAATATCCAAAATGAAGTTGGAGTATGCTTTCAACTTAACAGTGTGGCTATAAAAATAAGATGCCAAGGGTGATGCCTGTGGCTTAGTGGGTAAGGTGCTGACCCCATATACCGAGGCTGGCAGATTCAAACCTGGCCCTGGCCAAACTGCAACAAAAACGTAGCCGGATGTTGTGGTGGGCACCTATAGTCCCAGCTACTCGGAAGGCTGAAGCAAGACAATAGCCTAAGCCCAGGAGTTGGAGGTTGCTGTGAGCTGTGTGACACCAGGGCACTCTACCAAGGGCAATAACAAAAAAAAATAGTTAAGATGCCAAATTCTTTTTTCCAGATGTATTGAGGTATTGGTAATTAGTATACAAAAAGGCTGCACATAATTTATAAATGCAATTGGCAAATTTGGACATATTAGTCATGTTACCACAACCACAATCCGGGTAATAAGTATATCCTTCACCTCCAAAAGTTTCTTTTGTTGTTTTTGTTGTCAGAAAACCTAACATTATATCTACTCTCTTAGTAAATTTCTTTTTTTATTTTTTTTTTTTTTTTTTTTTTTTTTTGAGACAGAGTCTTAAGCTGTTGCTCTGGGTAAAGTGCCATGGGGTCATAGCTTCAGCAACCTCCAACTCTTGGGCTCAAACGATCCTCTTGTTTCAGTTTTTTCTATTTTTAGTAGAGACGAGGTCTCACTTTTTGCTCAGGCTGGTCTCAAATTCGTGAGCTCAAGCAGTCTTGGCCTGCCTTG